AAAGGAGCCACTGAAAATGTACGAGAAGGCCGTTCAGCCTTGGTCCAAAGTTGGCATAGGTCTTTTAGAATGAAAAGCAAATTATTATCTCGTATAAGAAGGCTGCTGAGCTCATGTTGTTTTTAAAGGAGCCACTGCACAGACTAGGGTGATTGGGAATATGCAGCTTTTTTACTGGCATTCCTGCGCGTCTCACTTTTATGTCTTAGTTACTCTGAACTTTTGCCTATTGGTGGTTGGTGGTATTGCAGAAATGCTTAGGAGGTTGAAAGTTTATAGAGTGGAGAGACCCTTAGGAAAAATCAGCCTGTTGTTGATCCACCATTTAATTCAGAATTATATTTGTTGTGGATGAGAAGTAAACTTTGACTTCGCATTAGTTGCACTTGTGGTGAATTTGACCTTTGGTGACTGATTTCTTGATGTAATGTTTTGGATCAGATGAGACATAGTCCCTTACCTGCCAGATAAACACTCTGAGGTACCTCTTCTTTGGTTCTTATCTGTAGGTTCAGAAGGGACCCCCATACCCACCATGTTTTGGGGAAGCACTTTGCTTTTTTCCCAAATACTGCAATTATGTGCAGTCGTGCTCTGATTTACCACCTAGAATCCATTTCAAGACCACGTCTGTTCTGATGAAGGTCTGTGCATGAATCCAAAATTAACTTTATGGCACCTTCCTACCTTCTGATGTTTGAGCTGGTTGGAGATTGGCTCCATCCACAGCATCATTTAGCATAAATTAGAGCTGCTTTAAATTATGTCCAGATGCTTGCAGGAGGCTATTTGAGAACTGAGGATTCCTAGCACCAAGTCACTCCCTCCTCCTTCCTGTAGAGATGCTCACTGAAGCTCCATAGGGATCACCAAGGGATTCCTCAAGCAGCCACATAAGATGGAATAGAAGAAAGCAGCCGGCGTGGACCAGAGAACCCAGATGTGCCCTGTGTGTGTATTTGTATGGTATGACCAGCACTGCCAGCTGGAAGTTAGCCCAAGAAGTAGGAAGAAATAGCGAGCATCCCCTTCCTGCTCAGGGACACAGGCAGGGGCTTGTGGAGGGTAGAAGCTGTGAAAGGTACCCGTGTGAAAGCTCCCCTTGCTGGCCTGTAAGGCAAACATCTAACTGGGCATCCGTATCGAGTGATTGTGTTATCCCCTGGAACTTCCCTCCTGCATTGTATGTTATAGCCTCCATGATCTGTTCTGTCTGCTCTGAGAATTGTGTGCACATTAAACCTTGGAAAATGTTTCCCTTAGTATGCAAAGGATACAAACAGAGGTGGGGTGGAGGTGCCTTTTCCTGTAAGTGAGGAGGGGTGGAGGGTAGCTGTTTCTGGAGGGTGTACCACGTTCATTGGACTCTGCCTGCACTGGACAGGAGAAAAGGCTGGGGCAGGGGTTGAGAGGCAGTGTATGTGAAGCACCCTGTAATGCTTCAGCATCTGTATCCAGATATTACTTATGCCAGGGGCTGTGCGCGAACCTGACAGCTAAGCTACATGCTACACGTTCGGAGAGGGAGGCACATTCTGCTACAACGCCGGCTGGTGCATGCGCAGCTCTGGTGCTGACTGTGGAGGTGGGGGAGTGGGGACCACATCACTGTCTTCCAGCTCTGAGCTGCCAGTTGCTGGTTGCCAAGCAGTTATCATTGTTTCTGTGACGATTGCAGAGGCTGTTGCTAATTGAAGAAGCCCCCACAGCATCCTTCTCTCTCCTCCTGATCCTGATTTGATTTTAGAGGCAAAAGGGGGGGGAGAGAGAGAGAGGTTTAAGATTTTTTGCATTAATTTTTTTTTTTTTTTTTTTTTTGTGGGGGTGGGAAATTTCTCTCTCAGCTGGTGATTAAGTGATGGACTAGTTACTCATCCTTATCCCTCTAGCCTTTTGTGTGTGACTGGACACACACACACACACACACACACACACACACACATA